TGTGTGTGTGTGTGTGTGTGTGTGTGTATGTGCATGTGTGTGTGTATGTGTGTGTTATACATAGCTGTCTAGACAATAACAAAACTGACTTTCTCACTATAATACTGTCAAATTGTTAGAAAAAATATAATGTTATAAAACTGTTTCTCTCTCTTAGATAAACCTGTTCTGAGCTGTAAAACTGGGTGGCAGTCTTTTCTTTCCAACTGCTATGAATTTTCCAGTAATAAAGTGAGCTGGCAAACGGCACGTTTATACTGCAGTGGACAGGGCACCCTGCTGCTCATCCTGGGGAATGACTCCAGGGAGTGGGTTAGTGATACACAGACACAAACATTGCATAGAAATTGAATGTAATCTCATGTAATGTCTATTTTATTTGTTTCATTCAGGATTTTATTGTGCAACGCACTGTTCTTTCATCTGAATCCTACTGGATTGGTCTTACAGATGCGATAACTGGACGTTGGAGATGGGTTGATGGAACACCCTACACCATGAACAGCAGGCATGTAAATATTTGTAGCTCTTCCATAGCCTCTCAGTCAGATCATATGATTTTATCATAGCTTTTACTGAATATATATGTTGTTATTTGGTAACTTTTACCATTTCAAAAATCAAGACGACTGTCAATGTTGTCTCACCATTAAACTAGTGAACTGCAAAACAACAACAACAAAGGTGATAAAATACAGCATCTACAGACTTACCCTTACACATATAGTCAACACAATTTTTAACCTACTATTGTTGGAAAATCTGCACTCAAAAAAAAAAAAAAGATTTTTAATGCTTGTTCAAATTACTTGGTTAAAATGAACAGAAACAACAAAATTCTTAATTTTTGTTTTGTTTTTTACAACTTATTTCCATTATGTTCAGTCCACTTAAATTTGTTAAATTGAAGTGAACTTAATCATGTTGTGTTGGGACTACATGAATATTTTTTGTTGACAACTAACTGAACAGTGGATGTGTAGTTCCCAGCATGCTCTGCATGGGATCACATGAAGAGGGAAACGTTGAAAAAATTAGTTTGTTGAAAAAGTGTTTTTAATTTAAGAAAATTACATGTTAGAGTTGTATACATGTAATGGTGAGTTATTTAGGAGATTCAGAAGAGGTTTGGAAATTAGAAAAAATGTGAGGTTATACTGTGTAGAAGAGCGCTCATGCTTAGGGTGCTGGCAGCTTCATTGACTGAAGAGATTATTGCACTCTTAAATCCACTGCAAAAAGGATTTTGTCATGTTAAGAATCCCCTTTTGTTGCTGTTGTTGTTGTTGTTAATTCAGTGTTTGTGGGCACTATATGCTACCAGTGGTTTGTAATGGCACAATGTTATTTATGTATGTATGTATATATGTATGAATGTGATTACTTTTTTTTTTTTTGCAGTCAGTGGGAACCAGGAGAACCAAATAATTGGTTGGGTGAAGAGGATTGTGGAGAACTAACTGCATCTGGGAAACTGAATGATGGCCACTGCTCAAAGAATTTCAGATTCATCTGTAAAGCACCAGCCAGTGAAAACTAACCAATTAATGTGGCTCTGTTGTAATGCCATTCAAACAGTAGGCCTGCCTACTGATATTCTGAGAAATATGCAGAAGTGGAAGATTTTTAATTATATATAGTATATAACATTGCATGTACAAGTTGTAAGTCAAAGCTGAAAATAAGTGAGCAAAAGGGGAAAAAAGCCTTTTGGTGTTGCTCATAGTGACATTAAAGACACAATGTTTGAACCTGCTATACTGCAGCAGGACTATGGCATGTTCACGCAGGAGAGCAGGAGCCCTGGGCATTTTTCTTTTAGTGTTTTTCAGAGTCAGTAGAAAGGTCTCTTTACTGTTATTTTATGACTGTGACCTTAATTGCCTACTGCCTGTTCGTGTTCCAAAGGTACATGTGCAATAAGTGTTATGGTTCATTGAACAAGCATGAAAAATTGTTTAACCCTTTCCAATAAAGATTTGTAAAAACTAATTTGGATACATTAAAATACAGCATCATAAAAAATAAAATATTAAAAATCTTATTGATCCCAAACGTTTGAATGATAGTATACACACACACACACACACACACAAA